CTTCTTGCACGCTTTGCCTGAATCGATACATGGTCAAATTGTGACCGAGGCCAAGTCGGGCAAGTACAATTATCGACATTTCAGGGACCTAGCTCTTCAGTGAGAGCAAATAACCGCACAGGTCAAGTGTACGTATGTTGGTGTTGTAAGAGAGGGACAATCAAGTGGGAAAGGGAAACGAATCTTGTGAAGGTAGAAACGATAAGACCACCTCCATGTCGTTTTCGATGACGAAACTATGGAGAGGTGGCCCATCGAGGAAACAGAGGGTGGAACAAATCGGGAAAGAATGACGTCATCTCCATGGTGGCTAATAAGGGAGGCACCATGAATGGTGGATTGAGGAAAAAGAGACTGCGCTCCTTTCCAACACATCCAGCCATCACTTCTGGCAGACCTTGGGAGAGAATAGGCCTTACGCAGAAGGAATGTTTGGATCAGATGGATAATTGTCAGTGCCTGAAGTGTGGCAGTGAGGGGCACATCATTGCATGGTGTCCCCTTGTTCGGAACCCAAAAGGGAACAGCCAGTAGGCGTAGCATCTGTTCCTGCTGAGCTGGAGGGTTCAGTTGAGACGACACCACAAACCCCTTTAAACCCACTAACGCGCAAGGCAGAGGATGGGTTCAGTTGAGACGGTGCCACGAACCCCTTTCAACCCTCCAGCTCGCAAGGCAGAGGATTGTTTTTCTTTGGCCCCTCACCCAGTCCACCCTGGGAAAGTCTTGTGTTCTATTATATTGGACGAGTCCCTTTATGAACTTGGTTGTGAATTTCTTGCCTTAAGGAGTTCATGGGCTACGAAAATGAAGATAAACGGTGTGAACTAATGATTGCGAACGTAGAGATTGTGCGGACACGAGTTCGTGCTTTGCTAGACCCTAGGTCTACAAGGTCCTACATCTCTGAGAATTCAATAAAGAAGTTGCACTTAGGGATGAGAGTACAAGACTTGCCTGCACCTATCACTTTGTCAAGCGCATCGGCTCGCGCTTTTTTTTTGCAAAAGGCGAGAGCCCTCCCGACCATGTCACGCAGGAGTTAAAAAAAACAAACTCAAGAGACAACTTGGGGACGACGCATAAATAATCCACGTACCGCCGAGACGGTCACGGTCGCGTCGTCCCTTCGTCGCTCTAGCTGGGTTGTGACAGCCCCTTAGGGAAGAAAGGTGTGCCCCGTGGGAACCTATCCTGTCGTAGGGGATCGCGGGAAGTACAACTACCAGGTGGGACTGGTTTTGAGATCGTGACGGGCATGTTGGTATGACTATTGTGAGCGGACATGGTGATTTGAGGCGGCATGGACTTGCGGTTGGTTGGGGAGTATTCTTGGTGGTTAAGGTGCAGTTGGAATTGCGTTGGGACTATCGTGGACGTTGGGACGAAGTGTGACTTGATCATGGGAGCACCCTCTTTGAGGGTTATCTCATTCAGATATCTTAGTGGACCCAACCTTGGTCTGTTCGAGCACTCAGAGGTGGCGGAATAAAAGTTCCTTCGATCATATAGGTTGGGAAAAATAACTTTGGCAGATCATTTCATCAAGTCAAAAACCAATCTTGCGTGATTGAATATAAGGTGTTTTGATTTTATTTGTTTTCTTTTTATAAAGTTGTGAAGGGACTAGGATTATTTTGTGGGTTTTACGCTTGGTTGAGACCGTCCTAGTCATTCGATGTTCGATCGTACTTAGGAGATCAGCGCCCTAGGGAACGGACGAGGTTCAGGTTCACTTTGGTGTTTAACCAAGCGTACCTATATTGCAACAAAAGAGCAAACGCTCTCGGTTGGCTTACCTTCGCAACTGCATATAAAAGCTTTCGCATGTGGGTCAATAGCTCGGTAGGGATACGCCCCTAAGGGTGGTGACAACCCCTTAGGGAAGGTAAGTTGTGCACTACGGGAACCTTTCCTGTCGTAGGGGACCGCGGGAATTACGTTGTCGCACCCGACTAGTGCGGCCAACGGACGGCGTGACCGCACTCGACTCCGTGGTTCGCGGGGTTATTTTGGGTCGTTCCCAAGTTGTCTCATGATTTTGTTTTGTTTATGGTCGGGAGGGCTCTCGCCTCTTGCGAGAAAAGGCGGGAGCCGATGCGCTCGACAACGTTTATGTTGGCTGGCCAAATTACCATCACTGTTTCCAAGTATGTCGATCCGTGAAATGTTATTTTCGAATGAGGGAAGGTAAGAAAATCTTACATGAGGTAACCTTCCTGGTAGGAAAAAACTTACCGTTCAACATGATTCCGGGCATGGATTTACATCAGGAAGTTGAACGAGAAGTTCCAAGATAAAATTTTTAATGTAGAATAAGAAATAAAACCAATTAAATTGTTTCAAAAGTTTGGTTTTGACTCATCATTGTCGTTTTCTTGTATAAAGTCTTCCTACTTTTCGAAGTATGGTCATGAAGAAGAAGTTGGAACAGGATGTAATGATGGTACTCGTCAAAAACGTGTGTGATTGCTCTGCATCCTAACCTCCTTTTGTAGGAAAAACTTGTCGACGAATACAAAAACCTGCAGAAAGAATCAATGGGAGTTACTGAATGTGCCATTACGCACACCATTGAAACTGTTCCTGGTAGCCCCGTGGGAATTAGAAGCACCGAAGAAACAATTGCAGGAACGTGCTGAAAATGGATGGATGAGGCCAAGTTCCTCTCCCTACGGCGCACCTGTACTCTTCGTGGCCAAAAAGGAAGGTGAACTCAGACTGTGTATCGATTATCAAGGACTGATCTCCGTAACCGTGAAAAACGTGGAACCCCTTTCTCGAATCAATGACCTACTTGACCAGTTGCAGGGTTACATGTACTTCAACAAGGTTGATTTGAAGTCACCTACTTGACTAGTTGCAGGGTTGCGGGTACTTAAACAAGATTGATCTGAAGTTTGGCTGCCACCAAATTGAGTTGGCCCCCGAAGATAAACACAAGATTGTGTTCCGAACCAGGTATGGGCGCTATGAGTTTGTTGTGATGCCCTTTGGCCCGACCAACACACGAACAACCTTTCAACGATCTATGAATGAGTTGTTCCGACAATGGTTGGGTCAATTCCTGGTAGTGTATCTCGATGAGGACTTGTCTTGTTTGCCAGAGGAACAATCCGTCTCATGAGAATCGGTTGGGACTGCTTAGACCACTCCCTATTCCAAATGAACCAGCTGAGTCGATCTCCGTAACCGTGAAAAACGTGGAACCCCTTCCTCGAATCAATGACCTACTTGACCAGTTGCAAGGTTACATGTACTTCAACAAGATTGATTTGAAGTCACCTGCTTGACTAGTTGAAGGGTTGCACGTACTTAAACAAGATTGATCTGAAGTTTGGCTGCCACCAAATTGAATTGGCCCCCGAAGATAAATACAAGATTGCGTTCCGAACCAGGTATGGGCGCTATGCATTTGTTGTGATGCCCTTTGGCCCGACCAACGCACGAACAACCTTTCAACGATCTATGAATGAGTTGTTCCGGCAATGGTTGGATCAATTCGTGGTAGTGTATCTCGATGAGGACTTGTCTTGTTTGCCGGAAGAACAATCCGTCTCATGCGAATCCGCTGGGTATTCCAAATGAACCAGGTGTATTCCAAATGAACCAGGTGAGTCAATCTCCATTGACTTTATGAGGCTCTCAAAGAGCCGGAATGGGAACCGTCAGGTAATGGTCATTGTGGATAGGTTCTCTAAATATGCTATGTTCATTCCTTTACCCTATGAAGCCAGGACGAAACTTGTCATCCAAAAGTTCTGGATTGTTTGGGTTTTGAATACGGACTTCCGAAAACCATCATATGTGATCGGGATGTATGGTTCACGGGGCAACAATGGAAAAAGTTGATGGAAGTCTGACCATGTCGTTAGGAAGACATCCTGAAACAAATGGGCAAACTAAGCAAATGAATCGTCGATGCCCACAATTTTTGCGAATATATGTTAGGTCGGACCAGACTCGTTAGGATGAGAACTTACCTAAGTGCATATAATCACAACGTACACACTGTCACCTGTAGAACACCTAATGCACACCATAAAGCATGCCTATTGATGACTTGACTCGGGTTCGTGTTCAACGGCTTCCCACAGGTATGAGAGAAATTGCAATTTTATATGAACACAAGATGTTGTCAAAGTCAAGGAGAATATACAGAAAGCCCAAACCCAAATGATTGAGCAAACGAACAAACATCGTAGACCAGCTCAATTCAAAGGAGGTATGGGTGAAGTCCAACGAATTCTCTCTTGAGGAAGGAATATCTAAAAAATTGCCACCTGTCTACTACGGACCCTGGGAAGTTCTCAAGGTGACAGGGATACAAACGGACCATCATATTGATGTACCCCCACATCTAAAGACCTACCTCGTCTTTCATGCTTCGAAACTGGTACCGTATGTAGAGGGCCACAATTTTCCTACCCAGCCATCCATGATTCCACCCTGGATGGACGGGGGATATGAGGCTGAAAGAATACTGGAACACGGGTTCTTCTCCACAGGTGGCAGAGGACGACCACAGAAGCAGTTTAAGGTAAAGTTCAAAAGCCAACCTGAAATAGAATCAAGATGGTTTAGTAAGAAAGAAAGAACTACCTACTGCACCTGACATTATAGCAGCTTATGAACGTGGGTTAAAGGAAAGTCGTGGTTGAAAATAAAATTTCTGCGATGGAACTCGAAATAGGGACAGATGGGGTGCAATAACTAAGTTCAGAATCTGCATTGATGTGAGCAAGGGGGCGTAACTTTTGGTCAAAGGCACAAAACAGTGATCAAAAGGCACGCCCTAAGTCTGAGAAAACCTGGGCAAATGTCTAAGGCCAAGGGGGGTACCCAGGGCTGGGCCAAAAACAGCGTTTAAAGGGCCTACGAGCGGCAGTCTAGGAAAGGCAACGGTCAACCCCAGCACGAGATTCCAGGCCCAAAGGTCAAAGTCAACCTGCTGGTCAGCCACGGCCGTAGATCAGATGCACATCATTGGTTTTCTGCAGGTATCCAGAAGAATCCGGTCCAAGTGGGACACGTGGAAAATCTGCAACTGCGCAGCATCCAGGCCATCGATTTCCGATTGATCCCAGGAGGTCAGAGGCTGGTCAATGTGAGTCAGCACTATGAAGTTGACCCAGTCCCTGCAGGAGGACATTCTGCCTTGTGCTGGCTCGATGCTGGTGTGTAACGCAAGGCTGCTGGAGCAGTATGCTGGCGCCAGATGCTGGTAGTGGGCACCAGCCTTGAGGGAGATTATGCTTTTACGGCCATGGCCACGTAGATTTAGACATTGATAGGAGTGTTAGCGAGGAGGAGGAGGATCTGGACTGTGAGATTGGTGTGTGTGATGAGGGGAAGCTAAGCTTACCTGGACTTGCCTGTGACATCATGTGTGATATGCTGCTCGTCTCCAAGAAGAAGATCTGCGCTATCCTCCCTGTTTGCTGCTGACGTGGATGGAGGATGGGTGCCCCGTTGTGACCTGCCCATTGTATATGACAGAGATCATCAGAGGAGATCTGCATTGCTGATGTGGCGAGAGGGGGAGATGTCGGAGGAGGAAGCGGGCTTGAGGAGGGACTATTGCTTTATTGATTCCTGTGGAAACTCTCCTCCTCTCTCTCTTCTTCCCCTTCTCTCACTCTCTTCTCTGAAGTTTGAGACAATGGGAGATGGCATGTATTTCAGATAATTTCAGGCATGGACACATAAACAATATCTGGAGACATTATTGCCGCGCTGAGTTGGACTTGTATCACAACATTCATGAGCTTCTCATCTGTCGGGGTTCATTGCACTTCTTCTATTTGTGTTGCAATGAATGGCATTGTCTCATCTTTGAGTTGTGTTATGAAATGACCAAGATCACAGCTAGTTCTACTTTCATGTCTAGGGCCCTAGGCTTGTTTTTATTGACCACTGAAACTGTGACTGCTCTTGTGTGTTATTGCTCTTTGTTATGAGGACGCAGCTATCAGCGACTACAAACAAGCATGCCAATTTCGTGGCATCAGTGAAGTCAAAGAAAACGTCCTTGTTACGGTAGGGATGGCAAGTGCAAGGGTTTAATTATCATGACTGATGTACATGTCAAGCTCAGACGCTTAACATGCAGATGTGTGTGGGGAGGTTTGGTTTCCAAAACCCTCACACCAGCTCTGTGGGGCACCTGTATTATGTCAGCAACCGTGCAATTCTCATTGCTTTTAGGATTGTTGCTTTGACCTGATTGGAAAGTGTGTGGCTGCTAGGCAAGTGGCACAACCTGATGGGTTTTCGCCATTGTTGTGGCGCAAGTGTGTGGTGCGCCATGCAGTGCGGTGCGCTGATCACCGATGCGTGGAAAAAAGAAAAAAAGAAAAAAGAAAAAAAGAAACGGCTTTAATTTGTGAAAACAAGAGAGAGAGAGAGAGGGGGAGAGAGAGAGAGAGAGAGAGCACAAACAAATAGCCCTTTAACATTGATCAGAGAACCCCTGCGGGTAAGCCGGGAGGCCCCTGCAGATTATCCACAAGGGCCTCCTCGCCATGAAAGAGGCAGTGCTCAGGTACACAGCAGGCTATATATGGTGTAGAGTCGCATTAAACCACCAGTACCTCACCCTGCTTGAAAAATCCGACGCGGCCGTTAACGCGCAGCGTCGGGCGGGGTACCCACCGACCGGCGACCGGTAGTCCCTAAAAACCGTTCGTGGTCCAAAAAAAAAAAAAAAAAAAAAAAA